AATGCGATAACATGAAAATAGTTAACTGACAAGAAACAAGAACAACAAGAACAAGAAATATTAAATTTATCTCTTTTATTTTGAAAACAGGACAGTTGTACAAGAAACTTTTTATGATATGTGTGTTAAAATGTTAAAAGTAAGTTTTATTTTGTTCCTGAAATTGCTCAACCCGCTATACTCGTTTCGCAAACTTTTTCAGTTACAAAATGCAACCTCACTTTTAAGACTCATATCATAATTTTAGCTATTTGATATTCATATCATTTTCAGTAACATATGGTAATGAAAATTTTGTATCTCTAATTCATTCATTTTAGGCTTCTTTTACTTTTAGATTTCAAATCTATCAATGATTTCGAAAATTGAAAGGTCAATCTTTTGTTTTGCAACAAAAAACATTGACAACTATTTTTATATGAACCATCAACTTCTGCTCAACTGAGAAATAATTTTAGTACCTTTGGTGATGTGAATTCATTTTCTATAAAATCTTACAATATCTTCAATATGTATCTTCCTCTGATGACTAAAATTAAAAGTTGAAGTTACCTAACTTCCTTATTACGAAATCAACCTCTTGTGAAATTTTTAAAGCAGATTTCTGAAAATCTCCCACCTTTCACTCCCACTAACGAATAAACTAAATACGATGAAATTCCGAAGCTGATTTATGGGTTCTAAGTTCCGAAATTTTGAAATACCCATACATTACTGATTGGAAGAGAGGCAACGAAGAAAAATGCTTAATCACCAGCAGTCTATTACTCGAAGGGAATTCTGAATTCGTATCTGAATCATGCCCTTCAAAGAATTTGTGAATGATTCACTTTCCATCAATTCTTACAAATTAGGACCTCTTAATGCTTTCGGTGATTTACTGCTAACTGACCATTTCATTCGGTCCGTTCTACTGAGATAAAATAGGAAACGTTTTTGTGCTTGGTTAAATATGTCTACTTGTTTTAATGGCATATGGATTACATACCTGTTTTCATGGATTGCCTTAATGTGATAATGATCTCAGCCCTTTTAAGCCAGATTCATTCATTCCGAAAAGAATCAAACCACTGAAAAATGTTTTGCTTCATTCGCATCAACTTAATGAACCATACAATGATGGTTCTTTGTTAGGATCAAAGTTAAAGATCTAGCTTCACTACATAGTAAAAAACAATGTTACTCTCCTCTGTCTGTCCCTATGTATGCTTACGTATTTAAAACTACGTAACGGATTTTGATGCGGGTTTTTTTAATAGATAGAATGATTTCAGAGAAAGGTTTATAACATATAACATGCATTATATAGAAGAGAAACACTGATAATTTTCTAATGTGATATGTAAATGTAATGTAAATGAACACATTTTCTTGCGCTTACATTGCAAATGTTACGAGATAGATCAAAAATTGTACACCTTAAAAAGGTATACAAAAAGTACGTGATGGTACATGTCTATCTCTTTGGGATAACCCTTAATAACCATTTTTCATACTCAAGAAATAACGGCTTGTTTACGAATCGATTTCAAGCAATACAGCATTGATCCTTATCCAATTAGATACCTTAAATACATTGTGCATTTAATATAGATCAATATGACTTTTTACAGCATGATATTCAAATGAATATTTTTTTGGAAGATATAGATAGATATTTCCTTTGACATTATGTATAGGTTTGATGAAAGAAACTTTTCATTACCTTCAAAAGCCATGTTTTAAAAAACTGCTCTGTTTTATGAAAGTTAATCAAGCAAGCTAAATTACTGTTTGAGTTAGTTGTCTGTCACAACTGTTTTTTCATTTCAAGTAAGATTCTTAACAGCATCACATATCAGGAATGTTTGTAAATCTCATGAAAACATTTAAAGAATATACTGAAAACACTTCCCCAACACGCGTCTCTCGACGCGCGTTTCGTTAACTAAGTTAATGTCCTCAGGAGAGCAGTCATAATGATCTCCTGAGGACGCTAACTTGGTTACCAAAACGCGCGTCAAAATACGGTAATATTTGTTCTGGTGTTGGGAAGGTATTTTCAATAGATTCATTTCACGCCAGAGGTTTCAGTACGAACTATCAAATTTGTTGAATGTTATTCGCAAGTTTGGAAATTTAAAAAACATATTGAAAATTTTATTGTTCACTATATATAGATGTACACAAGGTTGAAAAAATATATATTTTATTTTATTTGGATTTGGGATTTTTATTCATACAATTGGTTTTATATCATGTAGGTATATTGAAACTCCTCTAAACAATGAAATTCACGCGACAACTAGTAAAATGTACAATATATCTCGACAACATACTTGAACATGGTAAATTATATTTGAGTTTTCAACTTATAAGCCAATGAATTTTTTTTTCAAGACGAAACACAAGCACTACCGTAAAATCCTTAGGGCGCTTTCGGAGTGGTGCCTGTGCGAAAGTAGTGATACACATTAGATTTGAATCGCTGGTGAATTAAATTGTCGAAAACCACATCATGAATTTATCAACTCAAGTTTTTGTGAATATTTAAATCGATTAAATGGTGAAAGTATTCAGTAATGATGAAGTAAAGCTGAATACACAATATTGATTAATTTCTGAAATAGGTCAAATTTTTATTCTGATCTACTATGTTTTAAAATGTTACGAGTAATAAAATAAAAATGGTGACCTATCTTCAAGCATTGATGGTATCACCAGTTTTTTCAACAATTAATTTCAATTCCCGGAATTACCTTCTTGAGATGATTCCAAAAAAGTATCAGAAGTTGCCTCAGATTGGTACAGGGTTACATCAATTGGTAAAACAATACCAAAATTGAAAGTTATTCAGGAATAAAAAAGAAACTTCAGGCGATAATAAAACGAAATTTCATATTGTTATTACAACTCCTCACTGGTAGACATCGAAGTTTCGCTCCGCCGTGAAACACTTGCAGTATCAATCTGGATAACATTATTAAAAAATTACACTTTTTATGTGAAGGTGACAGTGTTCCATGTAAGTCAAATTTTTACCTTTCATTTAATATATTGTGCAGGAATCCTGTGAATAATATCTGATTTAATTCCATAACGAATGTTCGGAATACAAACTCAGTAGAGAAAAATATTTTTTCTTATAATTCAGTGTTCATATAAAAGTATTCGTTTTGAAATAATGTTTCTTTCTTGTAATTCAAATAGCTGTTTCAGGATGGATTTTTTTCCAGTTAGTTTGTGTCTGAAAGTTATTTCTTCGCATGATGTACACATCTACGTATAGAGTTACTTCTTTTGAAATCTATTGCTTCTTTCCTTTCTTTGAGAGTTTCTCACATTTTTTGTATCGAAATTGAGTAGTAGAAAGTCAAAAACTTTCTATCCCAAATATATGAACTTGAGTTGAAAAAAATTGCGCCAAAACTGTATACTTTCAATTTCAAACTTCTTCATTAAAAAAACTTCGGGGACGAAATTTCTGAGTGATAAATTCAAGATGAATCAATATATATTTAGGTGAAGAATACTATTTGTAAAATAAAAAGGGGGGATTTTGATGATTTTTTTTTCAGGAAAGTCTTTCTTGACAATGAAAATAATCTTATTGAACATAAAGAAGGCAAAATTTTGCGATTCCCTTGGAGGGAAATAGTATACATTTCTCTATAAGAGATGTAACATTGTCAAATAGGCGTAAAACTTCGGGTTTTTTTTATAAAATCGTTTCCTTCGAGAAATGAAAAAAAATGTTTCTCCAGTATTTCTGTCATATTGCTTTCAACAATTGTAAAACCTCATTCTTCTGAGAAGAAAACATGGCCGTATCTATCGCCGGTAAATATTAACTCAAGACCTTATTTTTGAAACTACTTCTTAACTGTTCAGTTCATTTTTGCCAAAGAATTTACTTTTCTTGGAGAATCTGAAAGTGGAAAGCAATATAGGATATTCCATTGAAAACCCAACTGTAATACACTTCGCTTCTACTCGGTACCGTGTGTGTTGGAGAATTATTTAGAAAAAATAATTGTATCGTGATTTGAAACTGTGAAACGAAACATTTTTCGATTACTTCATTCTTTCGCCTCAAACTTGTAATGGTATGTCTATTTAACATACACCGACTGCACTTTTTATTTTTTTCATCCACTCAATTTTGGAACTATTTCAAGTTGCATAATATGCTATGATTTCATCACAATACTTGTCACAGAAAAATTATTGTATTCTACTCGCGATAAATAACCATTATTCTCTTGAATGATTTAAAACATTTACCTTCGGTTCGCGAATACGTATACTCACTCTCGTGAGTAATGACCACATTTCTCGAATAATATACTATTAATTTATTACGATACATGAACAGCCATAATTGTTCATTACAATTATTGGTTACAAATACTGTCAGAATATTACTGGAGTTTTTTCCTAACAGCAAACCATTATTTTAACACCACGCGATCATCTTCAAGAGGAAGATCTTTCTGTTCAAGAGGAAAAGGTAGTGTATATAAATATATGTATAACACCTTATTTTGGTTTCCAATGTGTCCAACATTTTATATTCACCATTTTTTGTAACCTGTTACATGTTCTTCCAAATTGAACATTTTGTATCTTTCTATACGTCTCTGGAACTGAATGGGAGTCTGGTTGACACAATTTCCATTTTGCTGCCTGATTAAAAAAAAAAAACTCTACAGTATCTTGGTTGACTCTTCGTGACAGTAGGTATTCGAATCCATTGCTTCTCAGAGTAGTCCATAATTGTCTGAAGCCACCACCTATTAGTTTTTCCATTATGTTGAAAGTTAGAATTGACGATACACACAGAGAACACAGGTAACACATACATCCTAACAAGAACAAAGCCAAAAGCAGAATGAATGAGAAAGTCTGGCACTTCCCAAAATGGCGGACTCATCAACGCGACGGATATGCGCAAACTTCTCCCGCCAAGCGAAGTGACATTGCTGATTGTTACCTATGCTGTGATACTGTGATTTGTTGGTAGTTTGCCGAAACGGGCACCGGAATCGTAGTCAGGACTGAAAAAAATAATGTGTCAATTTTTGAGTGTTCATTTCAGTGACATTTCAAATCGATCTTATTTTTGTATCTGACTGGCATTAACTATCTACTGGTACTAACCGAAGTAGGCATATAAAAACACCTATTAAGGAATGGATTTCGATAGCCCAGATGTTATGAAGAGTTTTCCAGGTTTATATGCTTCAGAATTAAACAAAAAAGGCACCAATGATAGCGACTGTAAGATATGCTAATACATTCTAATCCATTATCTGATTTTTGGCTTTTCAGATAGTGATGAAGCTGAGAAAGGAATGAAAAAAGAGACTTCAATAGGTAAACGAAAGGACAAAAAAGACAAGAAGGAAAAAGAACATGGTTATGCAGCTCTGGAGGGGGAGAGTTCAGATGAAGCTAGTAAATCAAGGCATGTAAAGATGACTCCTAACCATCACACTTATTGAAATATTAAATCTAATTTTTGGAAAATACTTATATTACAAGAATGCCCTTCAAGGTATTAACACTTTCAATGCGGAAAGCGCACATGTGCGGATTAGTTGGGTACAGATATATGTGGACGACGCGCTTGAGCGTCCTGAGTCCTGTAAATTATAATTAATTCGTAGAAAATCCAGCACTTATGACTAGGTAATGAAATTTTTACTGCATATTTGGACATATGTGGAGAAGATTCCTACAATATTCTTTTCAGATAAATAAACCGCTTGCTCATAGGTGGCATCGGTTTGCTGGTAGTTTACAGAAGGCATAATAATACCACTGTATCTAATACGTATCTAATAATATTTGTGCACTGTGCTTATTTTTTGTGTTCTTTCTTTGAAATGGATGACCGAAATGTGCCAGGACTCTCAGGGTATACACATATACGTAAAAAAATTACTGTTAAAAATCATAAAAATCTTACCATTGAGGAAATGATGGACTTTCTTTATAATTAAGATGTAGATCTTTCCAAAAGTGAAAAAATGGTAGAAAATCATGAAACGGATGACTGTAAGTAGAAAATTTAGGGGTTTATTTATTTATGCATGATAAGTATATTTATTATATCAGCTGATGTTGAAGAAATTGTTGAGACACCTCCAACCAGAACCTCTCCATTAGATGATGTGACTTCGGAAATACTTCCATTATCAGCGATGCAGCAGTTATACCAAATGATGACTACAATCTAATAAGCTGATTGAGAATCTCGAAAATAATAATAGGAGAATGGAAGGCATAGAAAAACTTATTCAACAAATGAATAAAGAGTCTACACCTATACTTGATCCAGCAGTTACTACGCCTTCAATTTCCACGGAAAAAGATAGTTGTTCTATCACTCAAACTAGTCCAGACTAAGACATGGAGCCTAAAACTGAATTCAATCGTGCAAAATCAGTTACTTACCATACTTCTGGAAGACTGAACCCGAACTGTGGTTCAGTACCGTAGAAAGAATTTTTAACCTAAATAGCATACATTGCAATAAAATCAAATGTGGAAAGGTACTGACAGTTTCAGATTGCAGTATTGTTAAAGAAAATTCAAATCTTTTTCAGAAACAACACAAAAATTCTTCTGATTCATATGAACTACTAAAAAGTCAAGTCATCAGAATGTATCAAATATCAGACGAAGAAAAAATGATGAAGTTATTCAGTGAGTGTCAACTTGGAGACAAAAAACCTAGTCAGCTCTATTAGCAAATGAAGGATCTTGCCTCAGGGCAAATGACTCCAAATTTCATTTTATTATCTTGGCTGAAGAAACTTCTAAACAGTGGAACAACTTATCCGGGCGCTTTACGAGAAACTTCCTGAGAAAGAACTTATAACTATGGCCGATGGAATGATGAAAGGAATTGCAAATACAGACGTTTGTTCTATTAAAACTGGTCAAAAAGAAAATCGCTTAGAAAATAAAATTGAGCAACTTATTCAAAAACTTGATGAATCTGTTACCAGAAGACGCAGCCCAGTTTTTGATGGAGAACAGTCTAGGTCAATATCAAGATTTAGATCAAAATCCAGGACTAAATCGAAATTCCAAGATTCAAACTCTAACGATAAACTATGTTATTACCACCAACTCTTCAAAAATTCAGCTAGAAAATGTATCCAACCTTGTACTTTCGTCAAAAATATCTTCGTAAAACCTATAGGCCAATTGTTAATGACAACTAGCAAAAATGGCCCGAATGAAAGTCGCCTGATAATTTTCGATCCTGAGTCCAAGATAAAATATTTAATTGACACAGGTGCTGAAATATCATTGATACCAAAGTTAGATCACCATCTACCGGTCTTAAAAATAAAACACTATATGCTGCTAATGGATCTAAAATAAAAAAAAGACAATTCAACTGGAAGTTTATCATAGCAGATGTTGATAGAGCAATAATTGGAGCAGATTTTTTGAAGAATTTTGAATTAACAGTTAATTTATCAAATGGAAAATTGGTTGATACTAAAACAAATTTAATGAGCAATGGTGAAATATTACTTGTTGATAAATGTTTCAGTATTAAAACAATAAACACTAATTGCCCTTATTGCAAACTTTTGAGTGGTTTTCCTAATTTGATGAGTAAATGTCTAAATAAATCAAAAGAAAAAACAAATATTGTACATCAAATAATAACCAAAGGACAACCCACAAACTTTATAATTCGCAGACTTAATCCCCAAAAACTGGATGCTGCTAAAAAATAATTCAAATATTTGATGGAACAGGGAATAATTCGGCCTTCTAAAAGCCCATGGGCCAGTCCTTTACACATGGTACGAAAATCAAATGGAGACTGGAGACCATGTGGGGATTACAGGTCATTGAATTCTAAAACTGTCCCAGATAGGTATCCCATACCAAATATTAAAGACTTCACCTTTCATTTGGAGGACAAAAAGATATTTTCAAAAATTGACTTAGTCAAGGCCTTTCACCAAATTCCGATGGCTCCAGAGGATATCGAGAAAACAGCCATAATTACACCCTTTATGCCGTTTGGGCTAAAAAATGCAGCGCAGACGTGTTAACGATATGTCCATCAAATAAGAGATTTTTATTTTTGCTTCCCCTATTTGGATGACTTCTTAATTGCTGCAGTGGATGAAAATGAACATAAAGCACATCTGAAACTTTTGTTTGAAATATTACAAAGTCATGGAATTACCATTAATTTGGATAAAAGTGAATTTGGCAAGGAAGCTATAGAGTTTTTAGGATACTTAGTCACAAAAGATGGAATAAAACCAACTGATAAAAAAATTCAAGGAAAAAAGGAAAATAAAAATTAAAAGATTCCAAACCAAGTTATGTCACGACGTTTCGATTGTTAATATCCACAATCGTCTTTGGGTGAAGACGATTGTGGATAACCAGAAAATGTTCTGAATATGCGGAGAGCGCTCATGTGCGCTTTACAGAAAAATATGAGCAAACACTAAACAAGGTTTGATTGCGATCAAGACATCATTATGTTACATATAAGGAACTTTTTTGATAATATTGGGATCAAATATCAATTTCACACTGTACGGTACCATATTTATTACTATCGCAGTGAAAATATTTACCAGGGGAGTAGTTGTTTTCTGATAGGTGTCAGTCCATTAACCTACGGTGTAGGTGAGTTGAGACTGGCCTGTACGAATTGTTCTTTCAGATAGTTTGTCTTACAATCACTCTTCAACTATGTCCCCTAACTATATGTAAAGATTTTTTCCTTATACAAGGAATTGAACGATTCGGATGTGTGGTTGGTTAGTACCTCGTTTACGGGCAGATGGAGCGATGACAAATATGTTGTTTGTCGTTCGCTTCAGCCTTGTTTGAGGAATGATACTATGAAAAGATTTCAATTTTTAATTATGGGAAATCATCGATTTCATGTTGATGATGGACACTACCTTGCACTGACAAGACACTAAATAGCCCGAAATTGGTCTGCAAGTGTGCCCGTTCTGATAATTGAAAATCGATTCTGGCAGTTGTATCGCCAACAGCATATGCAGGAATTGCTTCTGTGCAGAATCCTACATTGACACGTGTTGAATAAAATCCAACTCAGTAATAATACCAGGGACACAGTCATTATCATCATTATTTCGGCAAACAATATAGGTATGTATATTCATAACGTGATCAAATAAAAATCAATCTATCTATCTATCTATGACCTATAAAATGTGGGACAGAAAAATGTCTCCTAAAAATATTCCATAACTTGTAATCACAAAGAAAAGATCAATATTCACCATCAAAAATGTTTTCAAAAACTCAAATAAAGTTGCAGAAACGCTAACAAGATATCATTAAATTTTCAGTCATTATTGTCATCATTTTAACAGGTAGTTTATGACCTACTGAATATAGAACAGCCAGTAATAGAATGAAGGCAGTCAATATTCCTAACTGTCATTGGAATTGTTTTGTGATTGCACAAAAAATCCAGAAATGTATATATAGTGATCAATAGATTTTGGTCTTTTTATTATTTTCGACAAGTTGTAAATGACCTACAAAATATGGCACAACCAGTGTTCAGAAGAATGAAATTTGTTCATCATACTCATGAGAAACTTTTACAGAAACACACTAAAGGTACCAAAAATACAAAAATAATGTAATGTTAATGGACATGCATGTTTGAAGGTGCTTGACAATTTTTCATGGTAAATTTGATTAATTGGGACTTCCATTGTTTAATATGATTTGAAAGCTACCAGATATTTTCAATATATGTTAGAAGGTTGGGAATTTGTCATTTATACTGATCATAAACCAATCACTTTTACCTTCAAAAAAAAGCGAAACTTTGTCACCAAGACAAAGTCGTTATTTAGATTATATAAGCCAGTTTTCAACAGATATTCGATATATTTCTGGGAGTCAAAACATAGTAATTGATGCCTTATCAAGGATTTCTACTACCGATTTAGAGAACATAATCGAATATGGAATATGGGAAAAAGAACAAGCAAATGATGCCCAACTACAAGATTTGCTAGAAGGAAATACCTCATTAGTGTTGAAGAAACTGGAAATTCCTGGTACTAATTTCAACATAATTTGTGATATTTCAATCAATAATATCAGACCATATGTTCCTGAACCTTTCAGAAGAGAGATATTTGATAAAATTCACAATTTGTCACATCCAAGTATCAAAGCCTCGTTGAGACTGATGAAGAATAAATTTGTTTGGCAAAATATGAACAAACAAATTAAAAAATGGGTTTAGTGTTGCATATCATGTCAGAAATCTAAAGTAATCAAACATATTGTGAGCCCAACCGACTATTTTGCAATACCTGACGCCAGATTTGAGTATGTAAATATTGATTTAGTTGGACCACTACCCTCATCTAATGGATTCTCTTACTGCCTCACCTGTATTGATAAATATTCAAGATGGGTTGAAGCTTTTCCAATTCGAGACATATCAGCAGAAACAGTTGCCAAAGCATTTTATGACGGTTGGATCACTCGTTTTGGTATTCCTTCCAGAGTAACAACAGATCAAGGAAGACAATTTGAAAGTGCACTTTTCAAAGAGTTTTCAAAGATTGTGGGTTTTCAATATATACATACTACACCTTACCATCCAAGTTCAAATGGAATGATAGAAAAGTTTCACAGATCAATGAAATCTGCACTAAAATGCCACCCTACTGAAAAATGGTCCGAATATATCCCCACTGTGCTATATGGTATTAGAGTTTTTCCAAAAGAGGATTTGAATGGTTTAAGTAGTGCTGAAATATTGTATGGTTCAACGCTACGTGTTTCAGAAGATTTTGTGATAACCAATGGAAAAGAAAAGAAATTATCGGATATAGAATGTTTGAAAACTTTACAATACAAGAAACCATGAGAAACATAAAAATCAACGAGCAGTCCAGTCATCATGGAGAGAAAAAAATGTTTATTTCATCATTAATTCTGGACAGCAGAGAAACAATGAATCTACAAGATAGTTTGGTAACTATTTATGAAATTGATGATTTAATTTTTTGGTATATGGGGTATTTCCCAACATACTAAATGCTAAAATATAAGGTACTTTTTTGGTCTATTTGTTATAGCCCAGTCAATGACTTTTTTTTATAATTTCGCCAAGCAGCTCGGGTATTGACGAAAATTTGTATTCACATTTTACTTACCATGTGTATCAAAGTTGACTTTGTCCCGAGGTTGCTTTCAGGATGGATGCTACCCCTTCTCAGGGTAGCATTATTCATTATTGAGTTATTTTAAAAAAAATATATTTTTTCCAAAATTACTAAAATGGTTTTATCACTTCGGACTCATTTTTTTTAAATAAGCACTGTAAATCGGTCAGACTTCTGACGATACACTGAAAAAAATTAATTGAAGTAAAGTGGTTANGGTGATGACTGGACTATTCCTCCGAGAGATGACTATTTATAGGTCATTCAGTGTTTTCACCTATCCCCTCTTCCCTCTCTCCGCTTCACAAATTTAGCGGAAGATGACTTTTTAGCGGGAGTAGAGTTTTCAGCTTGATTATGGGTTTCCATATGTTATGTATCTCTATGCTAGCTTGGCTGAATGCGTCGTTGGACAACATATATGCAGCTTCTTTGAATTCTCTCCTAAACCAGTGTTCCTCCCTGTGGGTGATCTCAGCTTGGGACAAATTGATGTTATATTGATGAGTTCAAACATGCTCCGCTATTCCCGATTTGCTAGTTTCTCTTCGCGTAGTGTGTTTCTTGTGTTCGGCAATGCGGGTATTATTATCATTATATCGGCAAACAATTTGTAATCTACAAAATATAGGACAAGCTGTTATTGAAAAAAGTGAATCAATATTCACCATTTTTCAGTGTGAATGTTTTAAAACGAACAATAAAAAATATCAGAAACGCAAAATTGATGATTGAGAGCTTTAAGGTCTTTATTATTATTTGGCAAGTCATTCGTGATCTTCAAAATATGGGACAACCAATATCAGAAAGAAGAAAATATAATTCAT